CAGTACCGGAAGTACAAAATACAAATATTACTATGTCCTATTTGTTTTTTTTTCAATGAGTATTCTAAGAAAAACCTAAAGTACAATAAATCGAATTATTCATCCATATACAACTATATTTATTCTTAGGCTATATTATTGACATAAAACTTCGTTTCCGAAAAAGATACCCTGCAGAAACCTTATGGGAGTGGCTTGCGGCCAAAAGTTTTTCCAAGAGAGTTTCCGGAGTTGGTCACTCCGGACATAATTACAACACTTTGTGTGTTTGGTACACTAAAATGAAATAGCTGTTCGATATTTATTTACGCTCGTTTCATCATCTCTACCGTCCGACTCAGCAAGATTGTACAGCAGACGCTCGATAACGTAAACACGGGATAATGAAAATTTGCGCTAATGTAAACACAAACTTCGTTCTATAGGCTCAAACGGAACGTGCGATAACGTAAACAATGTGTACGCTCGATAACGTAAACAAATCTCGGCGCACGGAAACAGCGCGACGGTAAAATGCTGAAGCCTCGATGATTTATGTCGGGCGTCGGGGAGTCCCCGATTTATGATGTAGAGAGTAGGGGATTCACCTCTGCGATAAAATACGACAAACTCGGTCAGTCGTATGATCGTTTAGGATACGTTTATACGTAAGTATGTATTTCATTTTTGAACTTAAGTGAATACATTGCACGCGTTACTATATTTTAAGACTATGGCATCCACATCCTATAAAAGAAAGTGTTTAAAGTTGAGTGAGAAACTGAAAATCATAGACGAAGTTGCACTAGGTGCGGGAGTGACACAGTTAGCAAAAAAATATGGAGTATCGAAAGCAACAATCTGTAAAATTAAGCGTATGAAAACTAAAATTTTACAAAGAACGTGCAATACATTTGGAGGTCCGGGAAAAAAAAACTTTAAAAAATGCGAAGGCACCTAAAATGGAAAATTCCCTGTATAAGTGGTTTTTAAAACAACGGGAAAATCATGTCCCAGTTAGTGGCGAAGTACTTAAACAGAGAGCGAGACTGTTAAATGAAAAACTGAAAGAAACTGAAAATTTCGTAGCTAGTGATGGCTGGCTACAACGATTCAAAACAAGATATGGAATTCGACTGCTGTCTATATCTGGTGAAAAATTCTCAGCACAACCACAATTAGTGCAACCATTCAAAGAAAAATTGATGAAAACAATTACCGAGCTAGATTTAAGAATGAAACAAATTTACAACGCAGATGAAAGTGGCCTTTATTGGAAAATGTTACCAGAGATAACGTTTCTAGCCTGCACTAATGCTAATGGTTCACACAAAATAAAGCCACTGGTAATTGGGAAAGCAAAAAATCCGCGCTCATTTAAAAATATTAATATCCCTGTTGATTATGACTGTTCAAAAACCGCTTGGATGACTAGCAGTATATTCCTGAAATGGTTCCACAGGTGCTTTGTCCCTCACGAATGACAATCAATTATCACAAATGCTCTATTCATAATTTGAAGATGTGTTTTCAATTTGTAGGTAAAAGGTTTCCTAAAACAACAGAAGCTTCCAATAAAAGCGTTGTTACTATTGGATAATGCACCAAGTCATCCTCCCGAGCAACAACTGAGGAGCAGGGATGGGTCAATTTTCGTCATGTACATGCCGCCCAACGTAACACAGACAAGACAAGACAATGCTAAGCGCAAATTTACGCATACAAAAATTGTTAATTATTTTTCTTCTAATTAAAAAAATACTTATCGCTGTTAGAATATTTGTTTATTTTGTTATAAATAGTATGTATTGAACGTTTCTTTTAATGAATCAAATATTATATAAATCACGTTCGCTATTGTAAACATTTCGATAATGTGAACCACACTTAAATTAGTTAACATTATCGAGCGTCTGCTGTATTTCTATCCATCTACAGGATGGGTTACCGGCGATTAAAAATTGAAGAGCGAGGGGAGATGGCGGCGTCTGCATGCTTAAGCACTTAACCAGCCCTTCTGACAGCTAATGCCTTTGTAACAATTGGAGAGCGGGGTGTACGATACGTCTGGGGGGCTCTGATTCCGCCCCTGAAGATATATAAGTTTTAAAAAAATCATCCAAAAGTCATTCCTCATAAGGTTTCTGCGGGATCTTTGCATATACACCTTTTGCTTATTTTGATTAGTATGGCACCTAAAGTAAATATTTCTAGTAGAAATAAAAATATTAGTTACAATGTTTATATGAAAATCATGGTCAATCCCAAGACAAGTTGCTTTAAGCCAACGGCTCTAGTTGGAAGTATAGGAAACGGAATAGGACCATAGAGCGATCAGTAGCGCTATGGTTACGATTACTGATTTGTTCATATTGAATGCACTTTAGTAACTTTATGTTCTGAGAAACGGCAACCGGATTTTGTAAAATAATCGATATGATAGCGATCTGATGGCCATAATTATCACAAAGTCGGATACCTCACGCTACTCGCGATGAACTCCACCTATAGAAGCATGGCATAACGACCGTCTTTTCCCTAAGCTGCTCTAACCCACATTTCTCTAGCATAGTTTGTGGGTCGCAAGCTGCCTACATAGTATATTTCTGAACAAAATGTGACGGAGAAAATATGGATGAATATTAAGATCGCAACATACAACTGATCCATGTGCAGGCATTATCTTTATGGGGATTGAAACATTTATTTACCCATTCTAGGTTTTTATTACTATTCTTATATATTGAAGTAAATAAATGTCTTCTACTAATACCTAGTTTTGTTGTTCTAAATATTTGTATTGTGACAAATAGTACTGTTGGCGCCATCTGTTGGGCGAGTCTACCACTCGCCAGAGCTTCATCGCCGATATCTGCTTTTACGCGAACCACGAGCGCACAAGCCGCTTGGCGGCGTCCGTGAGGACCGTGGCAGTGACTCACCTTCTTGATCGACGCGAAGTGTCCTCCAATATTCTAGATTGCGCTTTGTGGTTCACCAGACCTTTCTCGAAGCAGCAATGGGGACTATATATAACAGAGGACAGATTACACCAGAGCAGAGCGGAGTGGAGTATAGTGCAGTCAATGGCATAGGTATTTATGTACTATAGAGAATATATGACTAATACCTTCGGTATGAAAACCTAGCGCAACGCTACTGATTATGCAGAAATGCTGCAAGCATTACCCTAATGAGAATGACACACATTGTGCAGAAAGGGCCGACAGGGCAATACTGTCGAGCTTTTTTACCTGGCAGTGGTTATGAAAGCTTTCCTCTGTCCGAAAAAGCTTGTGCAAGTCATTGGTACGTAGTAAGAATTTTGCGATCGCGAGTGAATATGGAAACCTAGGAGTTGATTGCGCTGGTTAGGTTCGCCGACACATCAGATGTCATTTGGTTAGTTTCATTCTATCAAGTCCGTGTTTTTTTTTGAAGAATTCTCCAATTTAAACCAAATCATGCATGAGCAACAGAGCTGTCGAAACCGCAATACAACACGGTTTGTTCGTTTGACCTCGAACCGTCTAGCGCCGCCTAGCGGCAGCAAAATTGGACATAACTGATGTTACTTTTACGTCATAAAGGTGCCGCCCAGTAGCGGCTCGTGGCAAAATAAAACAGGTGTTTTGCAGATCCGAACTTACCTATTTTTTATATGACAGTTCGATCCTGCGCTCCTTCTTGGCAGCAAATTTGTCGATTACCTTCCCGTTGAAATTTTCCATGGTCGAAATAAGTTCCTTTTCAGTGGACAACATCGACAACGCTGTAAGGCGATCCTGAGTCATAGTATTTCGAAGAAAGGTCTTGATTCTTTTCAATGTTGAGGCAGCAGCGGTGGCCGCAGTAGTAGACTCTTCGGTCTCCTGATCAGTCGCCGTGCGCTGTGCGGGTTCGTGTCCCGTCCCAGGAGAAATTTTTCTCTTGGCTATGGATGTTGTGATTGTCCGTAGGTGGTAGACGGTCTCTGAATGTCGAACGTGGAGGTACCACCCGGCGGATCTCGTAGGCGGAGCCAGAATGTGTGTATGTTACATGCACACGTGTTCCCTCGCCAGAGTCCGTGTGGCGTTCCCCCTTTTCCCTGTATCCCCCTATAGCCCCACGGTACCCAATGGGTGTTTAGGCCTTAGGCCTTCGTGGTAGTTGGAGTATAAAAAAATATCGCTCAGCTTCTGATGTTGACATAGGAGTTGTAACAATAATTTTTAATAGCTTTTGAGTTTCTTTTAGTGTTGTTGTATCAAACATTTCAAAAGAGACAGAGTTCCATGTAAATCTCGGCAATCATTCCGTGCATAAATAACAGACATCTCTGTCTTTAAACGACTTTTTTCTAATTCGGGATAAGCCAAGCAGGTAGTTTCCAACTTGTCAGGAAACTTGACACAGTATTCTCCAAAGTGTTCGGGGAAAAAAGGGATGCGGCTACCAAATGATCTTTGAATTGAAATCTGTCCTTTGCAGAATTCACTATATTGTCGCATACTTCTAATGCGGCAACTCGGTGATCGTGACTGCTATTATTACGTCGTCTCCTTTTGTTGCCTTGGGGTTCAGTGCAAATACTTTTGGCTTCATTTATTATGTCATCAATTTTATTTCTCACATCGATAATACATTTTTCAAAATTATCGATAGCCGTTTTAACTTGCGCTGGCTCGGTTTTTCTCTTCTGCAAGTGGTTGAACAAGGTGTCGTGAGGCATGACATGATGAAAAAATTGTCAACAGAATCGTTTAACATACGGCGAATACCGCAAGCTGCCTTGAAAACGGTTTCATTAGTGAAATTTTCTTCTATTCCTTCCATGCATTCAATGAGTGATTCTCTGTTCTCAAACACTACATTTATTGTTCGAATATTAAAATTCCAACGAGTTGTTGCTCCTTGGGGAATTTTTTCCCCACAATTCTGTTCAGTACCTCTACGCGTTGAGGAGAATTATTAAAAAATCCCGGAATATCTTTCAAATCCCCAAAGAACACCCGAACTTCAGCATTTGTGGAAGCAGCTTAGGACATAATCAGGTTTAACTGATGCGCATAGCAATGCACATAGTGAGCAACTGGGTATCTTTGTTTAATTTTTGCCTGTATTCCAGCATTATGTTCGCTCATTACCGCGGCTCCATCATAGCTTTGTGAAATCAGTTTGTTAGGGAAAGTTCCTATTAATGGATCTACGACGCTCAAAATATGTCTTGTGAGAGTATCAGCGTCACATTTTTCGGGATTCATATAATTCCAAAAACGTTCTACTGGTTCGCCGTTAAATAGGTATCTGAAAATTGTTACCAATTGGGTTTTTCCCGAAATGTCCGTTGTTTCATCTGCTATTATCGCCGAATACGAGGCTCTGTTAATCTGTTTTATTGTTTCTTCATGACAAACTTCAAGAATACAATCCAGTAGATCGTTTTGTATTTCTTTCGAAGTTCCTTTAAATATTGAAGCATTTTTTATGTGATCGCTTAAGGTTGTATCAAGCTCAGCAGAAAAATTAATCAGTCCACGAAATATTCCCGGGTTTTGGGAGCTCTCGGTCTCCGCAAAATTTTATACAATCGATTATTTTTGATAGAACGTACCTGTTTTTTGTAACAGTATCATTATGCTGTATTTCTCCAATAAGCTGAATCTAACTGAGCTCTGATGTTAACAGTCCCCAATAAAGCCAATTCCATCGAATTATGAAGATGTGTTTCAGAGTTTTCATGCTTCTTAATTTTTTCACTCAGGTGCACTAAATCTGTAACATCTACCTCCGTCCAAGCTTTGTCACCGCCTAAAAGTATGCAAGGAAAGCAGAAAAGGACATTCTTCCTGTTGCACCCACAAATCCAGTCATTTCTGGTGTAAATCTCCCTGCTGAAATGCCGCGTATAGCCCTTGCCTCGACTAACGCCCTGTGTTTCTATAAATATGTCCGTCAGCGTTCGACCTAACACCTTCAGCTCAATTTTTTCTTCAAATGTATATTTCCAGAATCGTTACTACTGATTTTTTCTGTTAAGACAAAAGTTTTGGCAGTTCTGCAGAACCTAAGGGCCAGCCGCCCCTGGTGCCGCCTCAAGTTACCCGAATGCACTCTTATGAGTTAACTACAGCATCTAAGCTATCCTGCTTGTGACACAGGTTGTTAATGGTGATAAACGACATAATAGATGAGCGTCACGAAATAAACAGGACAGAATACTGGAGTCCGATGAATCTGCGTTAATACATCATTTGGACCATTAAACCAGAATTTGTAAAACACATTTACGAACCATTAGCAGGTTTAGAATTACTCAACATTAAGGATAATTTGCGAATGAAAGACGTATCTTGAAAAGTGACATTATGACGGTTTTTTGATATTATATAGGTTTTTGTGATATTATAAATGTCATGATTCTTGAACTATCTTTGTTTGGCTCTGATGTGATGTAATGTCTGCATTATTGGAGTTCTAAGCTGTAAGTTGTATAGTACAGCTGAAAGGAAATGGTTGAAATGGCAGTGCATATGTGCTTATTGAGCATTTGTGTGCTAATACTTTGTGTTGATGATAAATCCCTTGGTTTCTTGTCTACATACACTTACTTGAGATGTATGCTTCATACATAATGTACATACATATATTTTATAGAAATTTATTTTCTGATGTCAAGTAGAAAATTCAAAGCAGAGCATAGACGTGTGACACTGCGAAAATGTTTTGTGTGTATCACTCCTAATTTTTCTGTGATGTGAATTACACCCGACGCGAGCGCGGTGGCGATTTTCCGTAATGCTTCTCAAACTTTTTGAAAACGCAAAAATCCGTAATTTATAACTTTGATCATAACGTCTCTTCAGAAAGGAAACACAAATAACCAGGCAGGTAGAGCTAATAGATATACTTCATGGGCAGCATATTCAGTAATAGTTTTCTCACATATCACTGATTTTAGACAGATGCAGACCAATACACACAGTCATCCATATACGAACTTGCTACCCAACCAATTTTCTGTCACATTTTCTCCTAGGTATACTCTACAAGCTACGCCGGCATTCGACAACCAACAAAGCATGCTAGCGAACTGATTTGCAGCATGGTCGTTGAGTCATTCCTCCATAGGTGACGCTCACAGCGAACAATAGCGGAAACTATTTGCAGACCAGCAGCTCTCTAGTCAGCAACTTGACATTTTGTCAGTTTCTTTTAAAATTATATAGGTTTTTACATTTTACGCTGCCGGTTATATAACTAATGCGAGTTCTTAATATGACAGTTTAGTATAAAAGTTTAATAAAGAAGGAAGGAGAGTTTTGCTTTTTTGATCGATTTGAACAATAAACACATTACAATCAAATAACGAAACGCAATGGGATAAAAAAAGATATTCTTTTAAATGAATGGAAATAAATTCCATTGCAGCAATTTGTACTTTTCCTCCAGTGTAGGAAAACAAATGGCACTTGTCGTAAGAATTGGTTCAACCTTTCTTAACTGTTTCAGCATTTATGGTATCATATTTTTATGAATTAATTTAAAAATATTCAATTTTTTCTTCCCCCTAGCTTATGTTAGTTTTATAGTAAATCATCCGAGAGCAACAAAGTAAATGAACACAGTTTAAATGCAAATACAGTGTGGCCAATATATAACTGACTGATTTAAATCGCGCACCATTTTTGATACACGCATTTCAGTAGGTGGCGCCGTAAAGCACATGAGTCCAATTCATCATGGAGCGCTACACGATCCCACAACGCGTCCGTATATTTAAAGCGTTTTACTTAAATAAAGAGTCGATTTGTTGCGCGATTCGGAAGCTACTACAAGATTTCGGTCGAAATAATGTGCCCAGTGTCAACAACATACGTCAGCTGGTGTGGAAATTTTAACAGACAGGTTAAGACGAAGACTTGCCAAGGTCGGGCCGTGTTCGAACTGTTCGTACTCTGGAAAATATCGGGAGAGTTCGTCAAAGTGTAGTGGGGCGCCCTGAGACGTCTACCAGACATCGTTCTCAAGAAATGGGTATTCATCGCACGTCATTGTGCACTATTTAAAAAAAGACGTATTTGCGGCCATACAAAATTCAGTTAACCCAATAACTACAGCCTAGTGACCATGAAAGTCGCCGACAATACAGTCATGCAAAGTTGCAGCTTAACACCCAAAATAACGATTTTTGTCGTATCTGGACATTAGAGAAGCCTCGTGACAGCCACCAACGACCACTACATCCTCATCGAGGCACAGTTTGGTGCGGTGTTTGGTATGGATGTGTCATTGGACCTTACTTCTTTTAAGACGCGGCAGGTAATTCTCGCAATATGGTGCAAAACTTTCTGGCTCCTCAAATCCAACAATTTGACCTGCAAAACATGTGGTTCCAGCAGGACGGAGCAACTTGTCACACAGCTAAGGAAACAATGAATCTTTTTCGAACAATATTTCCGGGGCGTTTAATTTCTCTATTTGGTAATGTCAACTGGCCACCAAGGTCACCGGATTTAACGGCTCCTGACTTTTTTTTGGGGATTTTTGAAAAATAAGACATGCCAACAAACCAAATACTGCAGAGCAGCTTATTATGGAAGCAATTAAAAATATTCCTCCCGAGACCTACCAAAAAATGATGGAATACGTAATCAAGATGGCTCAGATTTGCGCGGCTTCTAGAGGCAGACATTTGTCTGATATTGTTTTGCATACATAGTTTCTAAGTTTCGATTAAAGATTAAGATGGAAAAAATGGACGTATTTTATTTCATTTCACAAATATTCAAGATACAAACCAGTCAGTTATCGGCCACCCTGTATATACTTGATACTCAATATTGATTACTTCAGATATTGTATATGATACAATGGTAACTTGGGGCGCAAAGAAAGTAGCTTTCCTGCATCTGAAAGCATTATGTAGTTTTTTGTCCCCTTTTTTTTGAGCTTCTACAGAGTGTTCTTGAAGTCTTGAGATAACAGACACAAATTGTATTTGAGAACAAAATGATGGCACATTTCTATAGCAATAACGGACTTTTCACTTTCACATCATTTTCCTGTACGTTTCCATCCCGCGCCGCGTAGGCTTATTTATTTCGTACAAAGGCCAATGGACGCCGTTTGTTTGTAGGAACATCGAGGTGGGAACAGTAGATCTAGACTTCTGAGTATTGCAAATTGGGGAGGGAGTTAATAATTGTGTTCTTAAATTGAACTTTGAACAATATTATATTAATATACAATTTAATTTTCTTTTTTTTGCAGCCTTTCGTCGCATATTAGCTTTGTTATTTCAATCGTAATTTTTACTGAAAAGTCGTAACTGTCAGAGCACTCTGTAATGATCACTGCAAGCTGAGCAAACGGATGAATAAAAATATTGTCATTTTTGCTGTGCGAGCAGTTTTATAATAGATTGCCAATTCTACTACAAAATCGTTCGTTTTTCTAAGTAGGCCACCTGTGCTATGCCGCTCTACCAAATATTTAGTATTCGGCACAGCGAATGCGGAGAATATTCGGTACACCTACGCTATCCTCAATCGTAAGTATCCGTCGAGTCATCGAGCTTATCCCAATCGAAATCCGTCGGTCCGTTTCCTATGTACAGCTCGCCTAAATGTTTGAACCTTTCCGCGAAGTTAACGTCTTTACCTTTTAACCTTTCGAACCTGTCGAACAGCAACTTCTTCGCGAACGTGTACAGTTCGATGTCGAGACTGTTCAACTCCGCGATCTGTTTGGTTTGTTCGGGTGTCAGAGTCGTGATGGTGGAACCTGAGATTGTTGAGTTGTTTTGTTCGAACGGAATGGCGAAACGGAGATTGAATGTCTCTTCGAATATATATTGAGAGATCTTCTGATATTCTGTGAGGCCGAAGTAAGCCATCGATTGGAGGTTTTTCTTCGCGCTTGCAAGCATGATTCGATCCCGCTCCTGTTTTGGCATGTAATTTTGGTCGTAACAGCCTGTAAACAAAATACCAACAAATTATAGAATCCATGAAGAAACCAAAATTTTGATATAAAGTCAAGCTGAATTTAGAAAAAAAATGTTCCACAGAAACGGCAATCCAAATGGTGGTGGAAGACTGCAGCAGAAGTATAGATGGTAAAGAATATATTGTAACTTTTTTCTTTTTAGACTTCAAAAGGACATTTGAGACTATAGATAGGGAAAATTTGTTATTGAAATTGCGTCACTATGGCATTAAAGGATTAGTATTACACATTTTACAAATTTATTTAGTAAAAAAACTAAAGTTGGAAATATTATGTCAAGAGTTCAAAATATATCATTAGGGGTGCCACAGGGGAGTAAATTAGGGCCGTTACTATTTATTATTTATATAAATGATTTCTCTGACATTTTAGAACACTGTAAAATTCAAATATTTGCGGACGATACACTTATCTATACAGCATATAAGCATTTGGACACTGCTTTAGAACTGTTAAATAGTGATATTAAGAAAATTATGAATTATTTAAATGCCAATAAACTTGAATTAAACAATAATAAAACAAAATGTATGTCAATAGGGAAACATTTAGGTGACAATACAATTAGGCTCATGATTAATGATGAAAAAACTGAAGTAGTCGAGTCATTTAAATATCTTGGTATATATGTGGATAGTAAGCTACTGTTTCACGAACATTATGAATACATTATTTCAAAAATATCGAAAAAGATAAATTACTTCTACAGTGTTTCCAATAATCTTATGCATTCCAAAAAAAATTGAGTACAACACTATAATTCTTCTCCATTTTTTATATTGTTCAACCAACTTGTTTACAGCAAATGATAACATATTTTCAAAATAAAGCTATGAGGATCATTTTAAATAAAAACAAATATACTATACTACAACTATTTAAAACTGTAATGACTCATACGCGTGATCAACACGTGATCGGAGCTCGATCCCGGCTTCCTTCCAGTACAGCCGTATAGCGTACGACATATGTCGTTTCTGTGGCTTTGCGGTGGTCAACAGCACAGACAGAGATGGAAATAATGGCTGATTGTTCTCCGCCGGTAGAACCAATGAAATTAAAGACGCGCCTCGACCGGCAGACTCATAGGCGTCGGCAACGCATTGGAACGTGTTTCGTTGAGCGATCGCATATTGTGTGTTTTTATAAGAATTTTTGTGGTTTCTGTGGTTACTGTTTTGGTTATACTTAACCATGGAGAGTACAAATGGCACGAGTGGAAGTACTGAAAGCCAGGGAACAAGTAGACGGCTTCGTAAAGCACTGAAGAGGGACGCGAAAGAAATCGTGCTCAACGTGTTCAATTATCTGAACAGAACTATGTCGCAGGGAGATGCACTCGCGCGTTGTGAAAGTATGACAGGCGTTTCAGAGTGGACCATTCGCAGGGTGGTGCATACAAAGAAGAAAACTGGAGCTACTACTGATCCAAAGTTTAATTTGAAGGGACGAAAAGCCGTTAAATTGGATGACGATAGCGAAATGGCGTTGAGGCGAACCGTGCATTCATTCTTCTTTAGGAATGAGATACTAACCCTCAAGGCTGTACATGCAGCGATCAAGGAAAATGAAATTATACCCCAAATGAGCGTCGAGGTAATGAGGAAATCCCTGCACGAAATTAATTTTCGTTACAAAACGCGTAATCGGAAGTCAGTATTGATAGAGAGACCTGAAATAGTCGCCTGGCGTCGAAAATACATACGCGAAATGATTGAATATAGGCGACAAAACAGAAAAATCTATTATTTGGACGAGACATGGGTAAATGCAAGTCACACAGTTAAAAAAACCTGGATAGACAAAAACGTAGTGAGTAACCGACAAGCAAGCATTGAAGGTTTGTCAACAGGTCTTCGTGGACCGTCAGGGAAAGGTCAAAGATTGATCGTAACTCATATTGGTAGCGGTAGTGGCTTTTTAGAAGAGTGTGACTTGATTTTGGTCTCTAAGAAAGGAGGTGATTACCATGACGAAATGAATGCCAGCTGCTTCGAGAGCTGGTTTCAAGGGGTGCTTCAGCGAGTTGAGCCCAACTCTGTGATCGTCATGGATAATGCTACCATAGTCGTCGAGCCGAACGTGTACCGACTATGGGATCTCGAAAAAGTGACATGCAGCAATGGTTGCGCGAAAAAGGAATCCCGTTTGACGATTCATGTGTGAAAGCGGAATTGTATGAAAAAATTAAACAGCACAAACCTGCGAACATTAGTTACGTGACTGATGAGATGGCCCGTCAATGTGGTGTCACTGTGCTGCGGTTACCGCCCTACCACTGTGAACTGAACCCAATAGAGCTCATCTGGGCTCAAGTGAAGGGTTATATTGCGCGCCATAACACAACCTTCAAATTACCAGACGTTAAGGTTTTACTTGAGACTTCCATACAGCTAGTAACGCCCGAAGCTTGGCAGAATGCTATCCGTCATGTTGTGAAGGAAGAAACAAAAATGTGGCAGCTTGACCACCACCATCATAGAACCAGTTATAGTCAATTTCAACGAGGAAAGCGATAGCGACAGTTTATTACTGTCAGATGTAAGTGGAAGCGACGATGAATAAAGGTAATTCCCAAATTTTTGACTTACAATATGTTTCAAACCACTCTTTATTAAGCATGTGACAAATCTAGTTCACCCATGTTAAACATTCATACCCCGCCTATGAACAGCCGACTACTGGTAGTTAAGTGATGTTCACGTGAACATCGATGAGTCATTACAGTTTTAGATAGTTATAGTATAGGATTAAGTCTATGTTAGAAGTGCAGTGGTTGGATGTGAAAAATTTCATATATTATTTAGTTCTCGTTTTCATATTCAAATTAAAAAATCATTTATTACCACCACATTTAGAGAACTTCACAAAATTAAATAGTCATTATCATAACTACGAAACTAGAGGCATCTGCAAAATTGTAATAGTAGCATAACTAGTAAATCTATATTTCAAAAGGGAGTATTTGAATTTAATACATTGAATAATGATATTAAACAAAGTTCGAATTTAAAAATGTTTAAGGTGAAATTGAAAAATCACTTTATGAATAATCAAAATACATACATGCAGGTTGTATGTCTAAAGGTTTCCTTTAAGAAATCATCCGGCCTCACGGATGTTTGTGAATTTAGTTATTTGTGACACAGAATATTTAAAAGAAGAACGAGGAGGTCACGGTAGAAGACAATACGACAAGAACATTATAAACGGGTGCAGTTCGGCAGAAATGAAGATTTTACTAAATTAATTTTGTGTCCAGACGAGGCCACATTCACACGAAATGGAGCGCACAATTTCCACAACAATCATGTTTGGACAGTAAAAAATCCGTATGATGTAAAAACAACTCATTTTCAACATATATTTTCATTGAATGTTTGGGCTGGGAATATTTGGCATGCTTATTGGACTCTACTCCACCTTGACTGATTAGATATTCCTCTAAATGTGAGACAGAATATGTGGTTCCTACAAGAGGAGGCTCCACCACATTTTAGACAATGAACAACTAAATAATGAGTTTCCGAATACGAGCCTCTTCCCACTTCAGTTGGCCCACTTCAAGATTTGTACCAAAATATGCCTTTATAAAGTAAACATGACGAAACTATTGACTTCTAAAACAATTTATTTTCTCAAAAGCATTTTAGATACATATTTGAAATCACTTAGACCTATAACTAATACAACATCTGAACAAATAAACAATGTGCGAATAAATGCGCGAAGTTAACAAAACAACAATTGAAAGATTACCATTGGGTAACATCACCTTTATTCTTTATTACGGCTGAAATTCTTTGGGGCATAGTGTTAACCAAGTTTTGGCAAAAATTTGGTGTAAAACAATCCCATATTTCTTGAAGCTTGTGTCTCAGTTCGGTGATTGTACGAGCAGGATATTGTCGTAGAACCTTTTTCATCTCGTGCCACAAAGTTTCAATAGGTGACAGATCTGGACTGCTAGAAACCCATTTCAAAAGTGGTACATTATTTTCTTCCATCCATTTTATAGCCTTTTTGAGGTATGGCACGCTGCACCATCTTGCTGAAACACAAAATCTTGGCCGGATGTCAAACATTCTTCCATCACTGGTAAAAGCGATTCTTCTAAAATTGCCAAATATTTGTTTGTATCCACATGTCCATCAATAAAATGAAGTTTTCCTACTCCTTTTAATGACATACTGCTCCAGACCATAATGGATGCTGGAAATTTCACTTTTCTCTTCAGACAGTCACCGTGGAATACTTCATTTTTTGCGAATAACTCCACTGCGATTGCCACCAACACAAACTTCGAATCGGGCCTCATCACACCATTGTTGAGGTGTCCATTGTCTATGTTATTTAGCCCATCTAAGCCGATTTGTCTTTTGCAGTGGAGTTAATAGTGGCTTTTCTTTGGTCTATAAACCAGTTGTGCAACTTTAGGGTTTTTACTTCACTTTTTTTATAAGAAAACTTACATTATAAGTGCTAAATCCCAGTTTGTGGGCCTCTCTATGAGTTGTGGACCTCGAAATTCTCCTTCCAACTGCGTCACTCCACAGAGCACTTAATTGTAAATAATTGGCACTCCTGTTTTTCACGATTATTCTTCTTAATGCTCTTCGGTCGGCATTTGTGATATTACTTTTTTCACATATCGTGGCTTAATATTAACTGAACCAGTTACGTTATATCTTCTAACAATAGTTCTCACACTGTACCGCGATAAGTCTAACAACGTATTCTGACAGCTGTGATTAATAAAAACAATTGTCATGGCTTTTATTTTTCACAGCCACCTTTGCATTGAAATGAAAACATGTGTTATTTATTTATGCTTAGTGAGTGATAAAGTTGGTGTTTTCTACTATACAGGGTTACAGGAAAAGTCGTGCTAGATCCGTTAAGGGCGTGTAGTACCCATCA